TTGGAGATGGATCAATGCGTCTCTGAGATTCTTCTGAGATGGTTCCTTTTAAAAAATAAGTGTTAAGGTCCGGTACTCAACTTGACCCATGGATAAGTTGACTCTGATTTTGGGGGGTTAAATTTTTGTGCAAAATTGCTAGACTTCTACATGAGCATAGAGGGTAATTCTGCTCATCTCCTTCCTGCTCTGTTTATATTCTGCTTCCCTTGAATACCAAAGAGAAAATTCACACTTGCTGGAATCCGTGTATGAAAAACAATTATTTGCAGTTGTCAGAAACAATTTTTTAAAATAAAAAAATACAAAGACATAGATGTGCCTGGATCATTATGCAAAGGGATCTTGTAGCCATGCTTACGTAGTTTACAACTTCTTTTCCCCAGCCTCAAAGGTGCTACAAGATCCTTTGAATACCTAGGAATATTCCAACAAAAATCCTTTTTTCCATGAAATGCTAAATTTTGATGTTATTATTGTTACTATTTGCATCCTAAAGCCAAACCAGTGAAGAAACATTTTGTCTCATGGTTAGTTAGCAGTGGTCCCTGTGATGTCACAGTAAGTCCTCCAATCAAGTGTCATGTTATTTAGCTGCAACTGATCTGTCTGTTGTGATGTCATTACCTGTGATGTCATAGGAATCTATTATTTTCATATTATACTGCTGGAGCTCCCGGTGGCGTAGTGGGTTAAACCCCTGTGCCGGCAGAACTGAAGACCGACAGGTCGCAGGTTCGAATCCGGGGAGAGGCGGATGAGCTCCCTCTATCTGCTCCAGCTCTTCATGCAGGGACATGAGAGAAGCCTCCCACAAGGATGATAAAAACATCAATTCATTCGGGCGTCCCCTGGGCAACGTCCTTGCAGACGGCCAATTCTCTCACACCAGAAGCGACTTGCAGTTTCTCAAATCGCTCCTGACACGACAAAAAAAAAATTATACTGCTGGGAAAATAGAAAAAAATCTCTTTCGATAGCAACAAGTAGAAGTACTTCAGAGGATGCACAGTGCACTAACAGCTTTTACAGGATATTGGACAAATTGTCATAAGAGCTTTTTTGCCAGAAAAGAACAGATTTAACTAGGTTTTAGTATTTTATAGTAGTTGTCATGTATAATATTTACTATTTGTTTTACTCTATTAGCTGAAATACTCATGGAAGAGGCTTTTAAATGCATTCCCCTTTCTCTTTATTAGATTGTCATTTATGCATACATCCATACAAATAATGTGCATTTCTACCATAAACTTTATAAATGCTGTCCTGTAATTTTTATGGGAAATGTTTTCACAATATCCACTGAAACAATGAGTTGTTGGGCAAATGGCATACTTGTCCTCAATTTTTGTCATAAATTTTCCCAGCCCCATTGCTAAATATTCCTAACCCAAATTTGGCTCACATGGGAGGCAAACTCCCTATGGTAACTTCAAATCTCTTAGCAAAGTATTATATCACAGCTCCCCCATGTGGACTACTGCTAAATGACACAGAGTGGAAGACAAAAAGTATGAAGACATACACAAGCACACATGTATACTGCAATTCATTTTGTAAACCTCTATTGCACTAGTAAAGAATTTCAAAAGGCAAAATGTTGCATGGAAGTTATCATTTTACAGAATGTCATAACATTGTGGTGTAGAAGGACACTCTTTTCACACTCTCTGACTGTCCAACTTTTAATGCTACTATAAAAATATCCTGGTTTTTCTTTTTTTCTGACTTCCTACCCTTCCCTGGCTTTTGCTGAAAGCAAAAAAGTACTGTGTGAGGGAGGGGAAAGGAGGGGACAGACCTTTGCCTCCCCTAAACTCAGTACTAAATATCAGGATGTCTATGCATAAAAAGTAGTACTGTTGTCAAACCATTGCAGACATGCATGCACACACCCCAAATATTTATAAATAATCAGAAGACTCCAAACAAGTTACATGGTTTTCTTTCCTTTATTATTAAAACATTTTCTGTGGACCGAAGGTTGCAAAATGTTAAAGCACCAGAGGCTCTGTTATGGACCTAGCAGCAGCTGTACACTACAAACTCTATCAAACCTAACCCTTTAATAACTGTATAAACTTGAGATTTGTGTGTAACTTGTGTCATTTAAATACAGTTCTTAAAAGTATAAAATATATAAACTATCAAATGAAATGTATCAAGATGTATCTAGAAGGCAGCTACCTTTCCATGTCCTCCGTTTGCATAATCCCTTAGGAAAACAAACCAGTCAGGGTCCCTTCAGCTATTTCCAAAGCCAGATAACTATCAAAATCTTTGTGTGTGTGTGTGTGTTTGTGTGTGCAGATTGATTATCCCCTTTTTTACCAGGATGTTTGTTCATTCAACTTGAGGCTGAGAGTCCACTGCTCCCATGGAAGATGTGGCTCAGCAAACATAAATGCATTAACTCTCTATACTGGCAACCAAGCCCTTGATTATCTAAAATCACTACCTTTGTATTTTGGGTCTTGCACCCTTTGTCTCACATGGAACTGGACATTTGATTTAATCAGGGATTCATCAGCATATCCACATCATCATTTCTTCCTGGAATGTGACCTCCCAATGGACTGGCTCATTAAACTAGTCAACCACAAGCTGTCTTTGTTCTTGCCATGGGAATCTCCTCCTGTAGGCTGTGACATCAAGGGAACCCCCAGGCAATGTGGGAGCAGATCCTAGCCTGTCTCTCTTTCCAGCCAATCAGGAGAGGGAATGGGAAGTCTGAATAGCTGTCAGAACTGGATGTCTTGTATTTTTCTGTGAATTTATTCTTGTACCTTTTGAGGCACATTGTTTGCACATGCATTACACTTGGTCAAATGGTAATAAACCTTTGCAGCTTTCAAACTCGGACTGCTTGTACTCTGTTCTGGATTATATGATTTAGCAAAGACTCACCAGATATGGACCTTCTTCTCTGTGGTCTTAGCTGAATTCACTACAGTACTATAACACAAGAACTGTATCTGTCTTTTGTTTTCCGGTTGTATTGATTTGTTATTATTGCTTATTATCATACATAAAAAAGAAAATATACATACTATGAAAGAAATTGTATTTAGTACTGACATAATTACATAATTACAAGTTTCCCACCAGAGTGGAAATAATCTGTCGGACAGATGGCAAGCTGTTTAACCTCAGCAGACTGAAAGCCAAAACCAAGGTTACAACACCATCTATTATAGAACTCCAGTATGCTGATGACAATGTCATCTGTGCACATTCAGAAGATCTACAAGCCACTCTAAACACCTTCGTAGAAGCATCCTACATCTGCAGCCTTATTCTTTATTTTTTCACTATCTATGACAGTGTGGTTATGCCAGTATAGTGCACCAACACGGGGTTCTGGCTAGGGTGTCTGCACATTACATTGCTTGTGGTCATTTCTAAAAAAAACTTGAACAGCTGTGGATGCATGTGGTCAATTATTTAGAAAAAAATATGAAATATGACAGCGGGAGTCAGATTCATGAGTTATGATGGCATACGTCTGACTCAAGTCAATATGGTGTAGTGGTTTGAGTATTGAACTAAGACATGGGGAGACCAAGGTTTGAATACCCACTTGACCATGAAAACCCACTGAATGACTGTGGACAAGTCACTCAGCCTCAGAGAAAGGCAAAGGCAACCCTTTCTGAACTAACTGGAAAGAGTAACTCTTAGTTTATGCATTCATCATCATCATCATCATCATTTGTATCCTGCCTCCATCTCTCAAAAAGGGACTCAGGGCAGCTAACAAGGCACTGCAAGTGCAGTATAAACATCAACAGTACATGAGTATAAAACAATAGCACATAGAAGTTATAAACAACCACTATCAACACATAAAATAAAATACACAATTTAAAAACACTTTCCATCATGATTAAAACAAGCTGCCATCAACACATAACTGTGTGTATTGATGGCTGTGGAACTCCCTTCCTAGGGACATTTGATCGCCCTCCTCTCTCCGAACATTTCGAAAACAAGTCAAAACCTGGCTTTTTGAGCAAGCTTTTGCAAATGCAGTGTAACTGGCAAATTTAGACCCACTGAATGACTGGATGATGTGATTGGAAAATGTTTTTAGTAATGAGACACTGAGGATTTATGTTTTTACTGGTTTTATATGGGTTTATATTATATGTTAATTGTTTTTAATGGTAATTTATGTTGTTGGGGGCATCGAATTGTCCCAACAGTAAACCGCCTTGAGTTGCCTTCGGGCTGAGAAAGGCAGTATATAAATACAGTAAATACATAAATAAATAAAGTGCTAAAGTGTCAACATACTATAGGCCCATTTCAGTCTACTCGAGGCCAAAGACCTGTTTAAGAAACATAACTACTTTAATGTTTTTCAGTTGCTATCTAGGAATGTCTGCATGCCCCATCCCTCTCTGAAAACTCTATCCTAGTTCATATTTATCTGTTCATGCTCGGGATTATCTTTAAATTTTAATTATTACATTTGGCCCAGCCATAAGTTTTAACTGTTGTTGTGTTATTGTTAATGTTTATTGCTTTTTTGTTATGAGTTTTATTTTATTGCTTTGTATTATTTGTTGTTATTGCTTTATTATTGATGTATTGTGGGCTCGGCCTCATGTAAGCCTCACCGAGTCCCTTGAGAGATGGTAGCGGGGTATAAATAATAATAATAATAATAATAATAATAATAATAATAATAATAATGTTTATACATTCCTCAGGTTAAAAAAATAGGGCGGAAGAATCATTCCTGTTTTGTGATGCTAGAAACCTCCATACCAGTCAGCATCTTAACTACAGATAGCTATCTGACTGAACTGGATTATACGGCAATGTAGACTCATATATAAACCAGTTCAATCTGCATTATGTGCATCTACACTGACCATATAAAGTATTTGCAACTGTATTATTTGGCAATGTAGATCCACCTTAAAAGGAAAACAAGTCACAAATAAAAGACGTATAGTACTCTCAAATCAATGGTAATAAAAACAGAGAACTTCATATATCAGTGATATTTTATTGACCTTCAAAACCTGAGATCCACAGAGAATAACTTAAATACAGTAAAAACCTTAAATAAAAGTAGGGGTTCCAGCCCCCCCACATACATATGTTCATTGAATAAAAAAACACATTTAAAACGTGGCTACTGTTTGAGTCATAGAAAACAATTCAACTGCTGAACAACATATTTACAAACATTCTTTGTTGTAAGGGAGCACCCACGTTTGCTAAAGCCCACCCCTATGTTCTCTAGGTTCACAGTGTAAGACTTTGCAAGCTTTGTAAAGGCTTTCAGAAATGGAAATACATGGGGGACCCCCACCCTTAATAAGAATGAAATAACCTGATAGTAAAACCAAGGTCATCACTCTATTGCCAAAGTGTTCTACTTTCATGTCACTTGCAATCCTCTGCATGGAATTCTGTGAACTGTGGTTGGGAGAGTTCTGAGTATTTGTATTTAAATGGGCTCCTTGTCCACATCTGTAGAGCCTCTCGATATTACAGTGCTAAGCTTTTCTCAAGAATGAATCTGTTAAACCAGTTCAAATCTCTAGTCTAGCTATGAGATGTATCAGATATAGGCAACCACTTCTGGTGTTTTGGATCACAGTTCTTATTATCCCAATATAAGCCAAGTTCTCTGACTCCAGAGGGCGCCAAGTTACCTAACTTTGTTCTGTGTCATGCCTTGTATACACTTGTATCTTCAGTCATCAGTGCTTTATTTAGGTGCATAATAGAATTAAAGTGTCTATAGAACATGTTGATGGATGAAAGGCTCTCATTGATCTACAGAGGTAAAGATGAGACCTTAAGTAGGAAACCAAGTGTGTTAATGCCAAGATACCAGAAGAGTGCCATATGATAATACAGCACTCTTTTTCCAAATCCCAGTAGTTGCTGTGGATTTGTGCTTGCTAAACCTACGCTAAACTAAACCCTGACATGCATATTTCCTTTAGAAACCAAACTTATTCACCTGAAAGTTGCTGCATTTTTAAAGGCCCATAAAACTCAGCACCTGCAGTGATTTAAAATGTTTTGCTGTTGACATACAATTTGTACCAATTTCTCATTGCAACATAAAATTAAAATGCAAGAAGATTTTAGCGGGTTAATATTTTAAGTTAACTTCAAAATAATACAATAAGACCCCCATACCCACAAAACTGTCACCTGCAGTTTCATGTATCCATGTCCAACAAAACACGACCCCCAGCGTGACTCTACGTATTCTTGAAGTCTTTCATTTCAATGTAATTTTTTATTATCCAGTTTACTATATCCATGTGAAAGCTGGGAGTATATCCCACTTGGCTATGGGGAGGTCATACTATATCATTGGTTCTCAACCTGTAGTCCGTGGACCACCAGTGGCCCGCAAGAACTAAAATATGGTCCGCGGCCTCACCATTACCACACTATTGCAAGAATGTAGTAAAACCCTCTTATAGTGCTGAGGCTTATTGAATATAATTTTCTGTGGGTGAGCAGCTGGTGACTACTGGATGGCATATGTTCTGTATCAGAAACTAGAGCTGATGTGGTATATCCAGTGCAATTTTCTGAATCAGCACCCCAAAAAACCAAACCTAATCTAAAGTTGACAAAAACTGTTTTGTAACCCTTTTGGTACTAATGTTGGAGAGTGGTCCCTGTTCAAAGAAAGGTTGGGAATCACTGTACTATATTCATGAAGCACAACTCCAGTTAATTTCAGTAGGGTTTGCACTTCCCAGGATCCCTTACCAAGAGGCATTTTGCTCAGAGACTAGCCTGAGAAACTTAGATGTGGCACATTGTGGCTCATTCCCCTGCTTTCCTATTAACTCGTCAAGTTATCTTGGCCAAGCAGAAATGGCTTGACTATTGTACAATCAATCAAAGCTATGAGCATTTGAGTAATAGGAATAATTTGGGAAATGATCATGCTAATTGAGGAACTTTGGCGACTTTTGTTCCAAAAAGTAACTATTCCAAGGTATGTTGTTAGGAACACCATTGAAAGACCATGCATTTGCAAGTGATGGTCTTGTAACTGTTATGTAGATCTGCAAAGCTCAACCTTTTGGCAATTGGCCCTAAGGAAAACTAAATTTCTTGACCTTAATTTCATGCAAGTTAGAACAGTCTTTCTACCATGGTTTCAAAGATGTGAACTAAAAACATAGAAGCCCTCTCACGTGTAAAGGACAACTTACATCATGGGAAAGTCAGCTATTTCAAGAAAGTTTCTTGATTCTAAATACTTGTTTCAATCTACTTCTAGCAGGCACTCAAGTTCTGACGGATAACCACAAACCACTTGCCTGCCTCCCAGCCCAGCCTGGATTTGTCCGTTGATTTGTCCTCAAACCTGTTTCCAGATTTGGGGATCTCTGACAATTCAATCCAGAGAAAACTGAACTCATTTAACTCTCATAGAAAGTAATAAGGCAATAAAGCTTCCTTAAAGCCCACTGAGTACAATGGACACCTGTGTTTCTCAGGATGGCACAAACCAATGGGACATTGTGAACTGATCTTAAAACTGCATTAAAAAAAACCTACTGGCATAATATAATACTGACTCCTGGTCATAAAATGTAGCCTGTAGAGTACAAGGACTGTGAAAATACCTCTTATTTAAATGTTAAATGCTTTTCCATAAAAGGGCCCTTCCATCGTTCACAGTGATGATGGTGGCAGAATTCTGCTGCAGGCAAAATGGTGCAAATGGTAACCATTCGCCTCAAGAGAATAAAAACAGGCCACTTCGAAACAGGAAGAATACGCCCAAGACAAGACTTGGAGTTTCAATGCACTGTGACATGATTTGGCTCAGTTCTGTGATTTAAGCATACTGGTTAAAACCCCATGCTTCAAGGAAATCCTCTATCTTCATTTGGGAAAGTAGTAACTTTTGAAGTGGACTCCGTTCATGTGGGATTCAATCCAAGGGAGGTACTCGGTCACCCTTGTGTAGACTCCGGGCTTCTCTTTTTCGGCACAGCCTTCACCCCAGCTGACAATCCCATACAGCATCAGCTTGTTTCTGTGCTCACAAATAAGGGGGCCACCAGAATCTCCCTGGCAAGGCAAAACAACATAGGAGCCATGGTTAGTATTCCCACACTGGCAGCGGAATATATGAAGCAAAGTTAAGGGCTGGATGTGAGTTGTGGTTAAGAGGAGAAAGTCATGTAGCCAGCAAATTCTGTTGTTGGCTTGCTATGTGGGATAGGCCTGTTCAGGGAATGCCCTTGTAAGCCTGATTGCACCAGAATTTGCTTTATGCAACAAGTTAAAGCAAACTTTTAAAATCCTATTGCAATTATTTATTGCTTTATCTGGAATTGCATTATTATTATAATATACACAAAAAGATTAGTACACAACAAACAAGATCACTATGCTGACAATAAAAATATGTTGACAATAAAATGATGACAATGCAATGGAAAACAGATGTGGACTGGCTTTGGATTAACTTGTTGTTTGTTGTTGATTGTTGAACTCGGACTATTTGTACTATTTTAAATGGTTTTTAAATAATTTATTGTTTACTTATTATGTAACTGTTGTTTTATCTGTTGTATATAATGGGGCATTGAATTGTTGCCAGTTGTACGCCGCCCTGAGAAGGGCGGGGTACAAATATTTGAAATAAATAAATAAATAAATAAGATAATGAAATAAATAAATGCTGACTTTTGTATTTGATCACACATCAGACATTTCCTGAATGTCTAGGATGTATTGGTGAATAATGTGTGCAGATCTGAGTAGGGTGGCCTTTTGAAGCTGACAGATGGTAATTTTGTCAGTGCCTGTTTTGTCACTCCGGTGGCACTGAGCTGCTGAATTTGCAGACCGAAAGGTTGCAGGTTCGAATCTAAGGAGCGGCATGAGCTCTCGCTGTTAGCCCCAGCTTCTGCCAACTTAGCAGTTTGGAAACATGCAAATGTGAGTAGATCAATAGGTACCACTGTGGCGGGAAGGTAATGGCGGCCACATGACCTTGGAAGTCTCTATGCAGTCATGCCGGCCACATGACCTTGGAAGTCTCTATGGACAACACCGACTCTTCAGCTTAGAAATAGAGATGAGCACCAACCCCCAGAGTCAGACATGACTGGACTTAATGTCAGGGGAAAACCTTTACCTTTTTACTATTGTTCTTAAGTAAAGGCCAAGGTCTTTAGGCACTGCACCCAGTGTGCCAATCACAATATCATCATCATCATCATCATCATCATCATCATCATCATCATCATTATCAAATTGCCTTTCTCCCAATATAGGAACTTAAGGCAGCTGACATGGCACATCACCAATTTTAAAAATAATGAAATGCACGTAATAGCAAATAATAAACATATATAATATGTTAAACATAATAAACATAAACGTATATTCTCCCAATATAGGAACTAATAAACTTTTTCATATTTGTGTCATGAAGCATATAAATAAAAATACAACCAAATTACAGTTAAGAATTAGACAGCCCCCCACAAACTCCCACTCACACCATCCCCAAAAGTTTGCCCTCATCATTGCTGAAATGCCTGAAAGCAGAGGCATTTGTACTCAATTGTTCATATTGTTTTAATTGAATGGTGTTCTTAAGATCTAGTGATAGAGAATAGATACATTTTAATTAATAAATATGTCAGTGGCTCCTTTTCTACAATGAAAAGACTCAGTAATAGCATGTTCAACACTGACATTGCTGACATCATCACCACATTGCTAAGATACAAGAAAACTGGGTAACCCGGCAGAATAAGCTTATGCTTCTTGTGGCACAAATGTGCAGCTCCAATTCACCTTAGTTACGAGGTGAGATGGAATTAAGCCTAATACATTACTCCAGCTGGGGAGAAGTATTTTGATCACATGTATTACATTAGCAATGACATTCCAGAGGGTGCATGAGAAAACCTACTTTGCACGAGTCCGTCTTCCAGTCTTTACCGGCGGCGCAGAACATGTTGCTATTCACCGTGCGGCCTTCATAGTACTTCTGACACTTGGACTGAGATAGTGTTTTCACATACGTTGACTTTAGAATCCTTGAGTAGTAAATTTCACCTATAAAAAAGAAGCACGGCATTTGTATGGTAGCCTTCTCAATGAAATCTGCTACTTTCTTCTTCACAGAATGAAACAAAATTCTTAGGCCCCTTCTACACTGCCATATAAAATCTAGATTACCTGTTATGAACTGGATTACATGGCAGTGTAGACTCATATAATCCAGTTCAAGGCGGATAATGTGTATTCTCTACTTTGATAATTTGGATTATATGGCAGTGTAGAGGGGGCCTTAGTCTGACTTAATGAATGCCTTCAGATTCCTGCTGAGTTGCAAACTGTTATAGCTCAGCCAGCTGAAGATGATGTGGAGGGGTTTGATATAGTGCAACCAGCTGAAGATGTTGATGAGGGGTCTGGGGGTTTCTGAAGGTGTTCAGACAGAGGGGATGTTGGAATAGAATGGCAGAATGGATGTTGGGAGAATGGAGGACTCTGTGTGAAAATGAAACTGTTTTGCAGGATGACAGGCAAGAAGAAAGATTAGATAGGGAAGCGAGACTGCTTCTGTGTGGGAAAGATTCCAGGTGCAAGTCAGGCAATGGGAAAAAGCGATCGAAGGGCCAAAGGAATGCTTTCATGCATTGCTGTCCTTAATAAGGGGGAAAACTGCTTTCAGTTACTTAGATCAAGCAACTTTGCAAGTAGAGCAAGGATCTCTTGTCTTGGTTCTCGCTTCAAGTCATGTCCTGGTCAAGTTTTGCTTTTAGTCTTGGGGATTTTACCATGAACTCAAGCTAATGTATTGTTCTTTGATTCTTGGATCACTTAAGTGGGTGTTTTATTCCTCGTCTTTGGATTATCCAACCTCATGAGTTTACCCTACTCTTTGGATTTTTATTCATGCTTTAACCTTGGCATCAGAGTTTTATCTCTGGTTTTTTGAGACTCTTTTTATTTTACCTATTTGGATTTTTTTACTCTTTTACTGAGTGTGCTTTTCCAATAAGCTGTTTATTTCTACGTTGGGCTTCCTGGTGAGTGCCTGAGCAAGGTGAACCCCAGCTGAGGTGCAACACAAATTTCAGCATTGTGAAAGACGTTCAGAAAGACATTCTGCTGCCCTGGAGACTAGGACACAGAACAATGGCTTCAAACTAAGGAAAAGAGATTCCACCTGAACATTAGGAAGAACTTCCTCAATGTGAGAGCTGTTCAGCAGTAGAACTCTCTGCCCTGGAGTGTGGTGGAGGCGCCTTCTTTGGAGGCTTTTAAATGGAGTCTGGATGGCAATCTGTCCGGGGTGCTTTGAAAGTGATTTTCCTGCTTCTTGGCAGGAGATTGGATTGGATGGTCCATGTTGTCTCTTCCAACTGCGGTTCTCTGATTCTATGAGTATTTATGATGGCTATATGTCATGTCCAAAATCAGAAGCAGAATGCCTCTGAATCTTGAAGGAGAACTCAAGTGCGAGAGTACTATTGCACACAATTTGCTTTCCATATCAATGTTAGTCTCCGTAACAATAGAATGCTTAACTGAATTCCTAAGCCTTATTTTAGTGAGCAGCAATACATCAAATACATTATTAAATTTACAAACTTAATCTTCCAAACAGAATATTTATTTCTTCATATAGAACAGGAGACGGTGGAAGTAAGTTTCACACACAATTCAGCTACCTATCTCCACAGAGTGCCGTTCACATATACTACACAAGCAGCAGTTTTGGAACAACAGAAACGGAAAAAGCACCCACTTACTCTTGTTTTCTTTTCCATAGCCGGAAACTTCACATTGGAAATTTTCATTCAGTTGTAAATTTTGAGGTGGCAAACAGATAGTTTTGACAACGGGTGTCTCTTCTGCGCACTGCCCAGTGGATGATCTGATCCTTATCAGAGCTAAACAAAAATAAAGTATGTGCATTAAATAGAGTGTTTTCCATTGTTGGGTCTGATTAAAACAGAATAATAAATGTTACCAATTACCAATTGCTTTTCCAGATAATAACATGCATTTTTTTCACATACTGCATTTGCTCACATTCGTCTCACCCCTCTCTGTGGTTGTTGCCCTCAAACAATAATTTAGATTGCAAAGTCGAATACAAATTAAAACTGAGGGCTTCCCTTTCATTTATTTTACTCTACCCAATAAATCAAGAAGTTTGGACTCTACATGGGTCACATACCTCTGAACTGATCCTGTGTGGGGTACCCCAGATCAGTGCTGAGGGAGTCCACACAGTTGATTTGGCAGGTGGCAGGTGTCCACACTGTGGGCCAAATTAGGTATGGAGTGCCTGATGTCTGTATGACTCACAGAGCCCATTTTCTCTAATACCTGTCAAGGCTGCTTAATGCAAGCTTGTTCTACATTTTTAAAAGTCTGGGGATGCTAGAGAACTTGCCCACATTTTGTGGCAGTATAAATGGGTGGTTGTTTCTGATTCAAAACTGGTTGTGACTGGACATTTCACTGACAACATCCCACTTCTGACCTTGGCTTAGCAGCGACTACCAACCACCTCATCATATGAGATGTATTTAGCATTCTAAGACACTTCCATGATGCTACCTCCTTGGAGCCCATAACATGATGTACAGCAATTTCTGGTGGGGCTCCATGGAGGAAGTGTCCTGGCAGGATGGCAGGAGGCTTCCCTTGGAACACAGGAGGTTTCCATTGTTCCATAGACAACCATGTGGCCAACTCAGGAAGAATTTCTCCTTTCTCCCCTTGTTCTCCCATATCGCTCTGATGCTCCAGTTAGCATCAGTGGATGCAATGAGCAACAATTAGCAGCAATTTTGCACCCAGTGGTCACTAAGCCAAGGAAATAAGAGGGATGGTAAGGATGATCATTCAGTGATGCCGAACCAGGTTCAACATTTAATATTTATTTATTTATTTCAAGCATTTATACCCTGTTCTTCTCACCCCCGGGGGTTGACTCAGGGTAGCCTACAGAAGGCAACCATTAGATGCTGAACATAGTATGTACTAACAACTAACACTTACAAACGATTAAACAATTAAAACAATTATAAATACACGAAAATTAGAAAATATTAAAATTGCCAGTTTAAAATTATGATCCAGGATCAGTCCATTGCTGGTTGCATTACTGGGCCATGCGAACTCCTTCTAGCTTGGGAGAAGGGATGACCATGTAAACAATTGGGATGGTTCCATTTCAGAACCAGCTCAAGTACTTCCACTGCCACAAAAGTATGGGGAAACTCTGGAAAAATGAAAATGTTCATCAACTTTGAAATATCTAACTTGGGTCTTACCAATGTCATTATCATAGTCCCCTCTTTGTTCTGAATATCCTTCGTGAATGATAAGCCTGTCAACAGCGAAACTTTGCTCCTCTGCATCAGTCACATTCAGTGCAGACTTTCCAAGGATGATATTTAATTTGGATATATCAGGAGTGCTGAGCAGAAGCAAAAAAACAAAGAAACAAACAAACCATGAATTCCTGGTAGATTTTGGTGGAACTGTGTTCACGAACCCATTTACTGTTCTCTTTTGCCATGTTTACCTTTCTCTCCTTAATTCTGTATCTTTATTAATATAAATAAAATATAATATAAATTAGTTATTTTTTTCTTTATTGGCCCTCATTTTTTTAATAGGAAAGAAAAGGAATATATGTAGAATTGGCCCACCATATCCAGGGGTTGTGTATCCCTGGATTCAACCGACCACAAGACTAAACTACTTGGGGGTGGGGGTGGGGATTTCAAAAAGCTAATTCTGATTTTGCCAAGCCCTATGCTGATGTAGTAGGGATACCTGACTGCAACCTCCTCTTATTTCAGAGAATCTCAGGCTTGCTCCAGCACTGCTGGAGTTATATTCCATTTTATATAAGGGATATCATTTTACTACATCAGTTTATTTAATGGTAGTTGAGCATCCATGGTTTTTGTATCTCCAGGAGGTCCTAGAACCGAACCCCTGCAGACACAAAGGCCCACAAGTCCAATTATAGAGTTGGACTAGACCACATAAGCCATCCAGTCCAATCCCCTGCCATGCAGGAAAATATAATCAAAGCACTCCCGATAGATGACCACCCAGCCTCTGCTCAAAATATATGCAAGAGTGAGAGAGAGTGATTGAATGCTGGCATATATATATATATATATATGATACAGAAACTACTGTAAATTCAAAAACAACTGGGTTTACCATAAAGCCAGGATCATGGGCATATAATTTGTTATTTGGTTTCACTGCTTTGACTTTCTATAATATAGGTTTCTTCTCAACTTTCTTATTGTTATATGGCTTCAGGTCATTTCCAACTTATGGTGACCCTAAGGCAAACCCTATTGCAGAGTTTTCTTGGCAAGAGTTGATCAGAAAGTATGCCTTTGTCCTTCTCTGAGAATGAGAGATTCACTTACTCTAAGTCAACTCAGTGAGTCTCATGACTAAAAGGGGATTTGAACCTTGGTCTCAGAGTTGTACTCAACTCTCAAACCACTATGCAATGCTAGTTCTCAATTAGGTTGTATTCAGGAGAATTCCCTGATGTTTAGGTGAACTATATACTCGGGCTCATGGACAAGATTCTTGTCTTTTAGCCTCATCAGAGGCCCATTCACACTCCACAATTAAAGGTGTTGATATTTATTATTCCACTAGCTGCCATCATTCCATCGTATACAATCCTGGGATTCTAATCTGATGAAGCTCTGGAGGAGCTCTCTCTGGCTGATAAGACTAAATGCCATTTTCTAAACTGCCAATCCCAGAATTCCACTGATGGGACCACAGCAGTCAAAGTGGAGTCATGGCATATAATTTTAAAGTGAATGACCTCTTGGTTGCCTTTTTGTGGAATGTTGATTCTCCATATCTGTTACAGCAGCCGCTTTGAAAATGGGCATATTCCCCATGATGGCACCTGTGACATTTCAGACAGTGTTATATTATCAGAAGCATGTGGAATGTGTGCAACTCTATGAAAATATCTTTGGCTCTACTTCTACTGCAATAGATGCTAATGGACGTCCATCTAGGAATGAAGGAACCTGATAATGGAGTCCTTACCTGCTTTCAAAACAATGTGCTGCTGTAAGGACCCAGCATGGATCAATGAGGCTACCACCACAAAGGAAACGATTGTAAGCTCTTTTCCTCGTAGACTGGAAGATGGTTGCTATCCAAGGCTGAGATTCAATGGCTGCCTTATGTCCACCCACAATCTTAAAGGTCTTTCTGAGGCTTCTTTGGCCACAGATTGATTCTGTCAAGGAGATAAACAGTCCCGACATTTTTACCTTACAGAAAACCTACAAAGTACAATAGACTGCAAATAAAAACCAGTGAGCCCAAAATAATTAAGCATGAGTTTCCTTTTATCCTGTACATGCTTGATATAGAAATATTAGTATGATTCTACTATTCATGGGTTCCACCACAAGGAATGAAACCTCTCTAAGGACATATATGGAGCCAGTGTGATATAGTGTGACTCGGGAGGCCAGGCTTTGATTCTCAGAACACAGAATTTTCTGTTTCTTGAAGCAGGATTTGGATTTTTCGTAACATAAAACGTCTTTATTCACAACATTTGGCACTCTGTGACAGTAACAACTTACCTCTTTCACACATGGGAATATCACAGGGTGTCTCAGAGGTCCGATATCCTTTCCTAACATAACACCATGGTTTGGATTGACCGTCTGGATTTCTGGAAAACAGAAGGTGTTTTTTGAGAGACTGATCTTCAGCAATATTAGAAACCACCTGTAGCAGTTGGAAAAATCTCTTCAAATTAATAAATGGCAGAATTAGGCTTCACCCGCAGGTGGCATTGCAAACTAACTGGAATGAACTCAAGAGCGATGTAATTCAATTTCATGTGGTTTTCGACAAGGACAGGTTTTTTTATGACAACATGTGAACAAATCAATTGATGCCTCTCTTATAAAGATCCGCAGTTTGGAATTAATAATTGTTATGGTAATTATTATTTCTTGCAGTATTTATACTGAACTCCTTCACTCTTTACAGCACCCTTCACCTTTTCCATCACAATCTTTACAGCACACACACATCTGAAATAAAACTATCCAGTGAAGGAGATTGCCTACAGAAAATGCATTTGTTTTCTTGAAACAGACAAATCTGTTATGAATAGATGACAGGATTCTGTGCCACCAGAATGAAGCTCCTTCTCCCCATGCAAGTCATAAAGTAGGATGGGGTACTGTACCATATTCACAACATGAGGAGAAGACAGTACATTGAACTCACAAACATGGGAGCACAGCAGTTAAAACCACTAGCTGCAGGAAAAGCAGCTGACCAGAGGGTTAGCAGTTTGAAGCCGCAACTCAGGGTGAGCTCCCTACTGTCAGCTCTAGCTTCTGCCAATCTAGCAGTTTGAAAGCATTCAATGCAAGTAGATCAATAGATACTGCCTTCGCGGGAAGGTAAAAACACGCCCCATGCAGACATGCAGTCATGCCAGCAAAAAGATCAGAAATGTCTACAGGCTCCTCAGGATGGAAAATGGAACAATGGCCAGAAGTTGAGGAAACGCCAGAGATGAAAAGGAGAAGGACTTTACGTTATCTGTGTATTGTGTATTGTTTGTGTAAAAGGCACTTAATGTTTGCCTTATGTTGTTGTTGTTGTTCATTCGTTCACTCGTCTCCGACTCTTCGTGACCTCATGGACCAGCCCACGCCAGAGCTCCCTGTCGGCCGTCACCACCCCCAGCTCCTTCAAGGTCAGTCCAGTCACTTCAAGGATGCCATCCATCCATCTTGCCCTTGGTCGGCCCCTCTTCCTTTTTCCTTCCACTTTCCCCAGCATAATTGTCTTCTCTAGGCTTTCCTGTCTCCTCATGATGTGGCCAAAGTACTTCAACTTTGTCTCTAGTATCTTTCCCTCCAGTGAGCAGTCGGGCTTTATTTCCTGGAGGATGGACTGGTTGGATCTTCTCGCAGTCCAAGGCACTCTCAGCACTTTCCTCCAACACCACAGCTCAAAAGCATCGATCTTCCTTCGCTCAGCCTTCCCTAAGGTCCTTATGTGTACTGTAATCCACTTTGAGTCCCTCCGGGGAGATAAAGCGGAATACAAATAAAGTGTATTCTTATTCTTATTATTACCATCATTAATTGCATAGTTAAGTATACTTAATTAAGTACTTAAGGATACATAGTTAATTCGTAGATCCAAAATGCTGATCGACGTTTGTTAACATATTTCAGAACATTCATTGCACAAAGTGTTTTTGGAGACCCATAGGGTTTTGGAACTTGTAACAATTCCCAAAGGAGGAATTTCAGCAGCTCAGACACAATGTCTCCATCAATGTTCCTACTTCTTCTTACTGTCAGAGCTACCCCTTGTACATGGTTACCCTAAAAGCACCATATCATACTGTTTGAATGTTTTAATACTGTTTTTATGTTGTTTTTATTTAAATTGTATATTTATACTTTTGGTTGTGGGCACCATGGTGTGCCGTCCGGAGTCCCTCTGCGAAGGCTGAGATAGGACAGGATACAAATGTCCGAAATAAATAAATACATAAATAAATAATATCATATCTCTATCGGTCTCAATAAAGAAATAAGAAATTAACCAACAGCACTTTTGACAAAGACACAGATATCCAGAAGAATATGTGTATCACAGCTCATGCTTTTGGAGGAATGTGCCATATTCTCCTATAAGGCAACTGCAATGAGAATAGAAAGCATTGCGTTGAACACATGTTCTTGTACTCTGCTGTATTTTGTTTACCTGCAGTAGTTGTGTTTGCCTAATCCAAGCTCCATGGCATCCTGCCTGTCCTCATTGTAATGCCATCTCCGAAGCATAGGGGAATTCCAGTCCAGACACCTTTCATTATTTGCATTCATGGATATAGTCCCTCTGTAGTCCTCCCCATTGCCATTGTAACAGCGACTTTCATTATCTGATGGGAAAACAAGGTGATGGTCAATACTGATAGCCAATCAGTAATTAATAACTCTCTATGTCAGAAATATTTTCCCTTTTCTACGCCATCTATAGTGCAAAGTGATTTGTATCCAAATAGTCAATGTAAAGCATAATACAGGATCGTAACACGGGCTTAGCAAGCACGTTAAATCGCTGTGCTGCAGAAAAATCCTGCCAATCAGAAGGTCAGCAGTTTGATCCTGGGTTGGGGTGAGCATCCACCGTTAGCCCCAGCTCACTTGCCCACCTAGCAGGTCGAAAGCAGAAATGTGAGTAGATAAATAAGTACCACTTTTAGTGGGGAGGTAATAAAGGTGCCCTTAAGGACATTTATCCATCTATCAAAGGAAAGCTCTTCAGCATGGAAGATGGAGTGACAGCTCCCCCTCCCATGGCCAGAATCGAGCATCCGAGATGCCGGAAATAAGATGGGGACAGCTGCCTTTACCTCTGTTTGTGTTTGTCTGTCCTTGTTAAGTGTATAATTGTATAACGTGTATAATCGGCATTGAATATTTGCCGCATGTGTGTTCTGTAAGCCACTCTGAGTCCCCTTCAGGGTTAGAAGGATGGGGTATAAATACTGTAAATAAATAAATCTATATGGCCATGTTTAAGACATCCAGTTCAATTGACTAATAAAAAGGTTTGTTACAACTAACTAATTCCTTAAATGTAGTACACATTTTTAAAAATCACCAATGCACACATTAAGAATTAGAAGCAGTGTAGAAAAATAATGCTAGCTCTAAATTTGAAGAAAGATATGGGAAAAATAATTTTCATTCAGTCAGGGGTGTCTCATTTGGAAGGATGTTCTGTTTTGCAGCTGTTGTAAAAGCAGAACAGATGGGCATGTTTAAAATTTTAAAATACTTCAATATATGATCATTATGACATGAATTATAGGAGCAATACATTCTGTAATTATGGTGGAGTGAAATAGCAATGCAAATCAGGTAAAATGGACAATGTTTGAGGGGTCAAAACAAGATGGGACTGAACACCTCATTGCTGTCTTAGGGAGAGAAGAGGCAAAGGGGGCTTTGAGGATTCATATACATTGCATCTGTCAAGTAGGAAATTTAGGTACCGCTTATGCGGGGAGGCAAATTTAACTAATTTACAAGGCCATAAATATCTCCAGCAAGCATGCAAAGAATGAGGAAGTACTTCATCAATGTCACAAATGGTTGGTGAAGGGACAGCCCCCCGGCGGCCAGAATACCCTCAAGAAAAGCTGGAATGTTAAATTGCCTCTGTGTCTGTCTATATATGTTATGTGTCTATGGCATTGAATATTTGCAATGTATATGTACATTGTAATCCGCCCTGAGTCCCCTGTAGGGTGAGAAGGGTGGAATATAAATACTGTAAATTAATTAATAAATAAATCTTTAATACAAAAAAGGCAAATCCCATTGGACAACCAAACATTATTTCAGAGGGCCAGTACAAACTTTTATCACATACTCTCTCACTATTCTATAGTGTGCTTTGTAATACTGGTTAAGGACCTTAATTTTGGGAAATGGGAGACTGATGGGTGTCCTGTAGGTTTCTAAAGTTCCCATTGTTGAAACTACCCACTGAGCAATCTTGATCAAGTCTTTCAGTCTAAGAAGAAGGCCATGGAAAACCTCCTCTGAATAAATCTTGTCACAAAACAACAACAACAACAACAACAACAAACCATACCGATTTCACAGTGATCTCCACTGTATCCTTCAGGGCACACGCAGCGTTTCATCCGAGAAAAGAGGTAATAAGTGATGCATGTCCCTCCATTAAAACAGTTGCAACCTATAAACAAGACATTACAAGAAAGAACATTATATAAAATCCAAAGCCATGTGATATACGTTATACAATAAGCCACATTGTGCATCAAATCTCATATTACATGCAAACAAGTACTAAAATCGAGTGGCCCCACCAACCAACAAGTAATAGCAAGCAGTTTGGCTCTTGGTCAAACCAGAATTTTCAGTTAGTAACAAAAAGCTGGAGAGATTTCTTTACCTTTGTGTTCATATTTTGTTTTACTTCCTAGCTTGTGTGATGTCAGCCAGTGGTGAGACTAAAAAAGAAAAATAAGAGACAAGAACAAGTTATTCGAAGGGAAGGATAGAGACTGTAGCAGCAGCATCTTGACCTCTTTTCTCCTATTTGATTTCTCTTGCAATAAACATGAAAAGGAGATTCCCATTTCCATTCTATAACAGTGGAATTGACATTGATGATCATAAAGATGGCACAGAGAACTATGTAATGAAGTCAAAAGAATCAGGGACTTGAAAATGTACGAGAAGGAAATAGAACTAGAAAAGTTAGAACAAAAAGATTTGCTCAGAAGAAATTATGGGAGCAGGGCAATACTAGAGCAGTGTTTCTCAACCTGGGGGTCGGGACCCTGAGGGGGGGGGGTCGCAAGGGGGTGTCAGAGGGGTTATCAAAGAGCATCAGAAAACACAGTATTTTCTGTTGGTCATGGGGTTTCTGTGTGGGAAATTTGACCCAAATCTATCGTTTGTGGGATTCAGAATGCCCTTTGATTGTAGATGAATTATAAATCCCAGCAACTACAACTCCCAAATGTCAAGGTCTATTTTCTCTAAACTCCACCAGTGTTCACATTTGGGTATATTGAGTATTTGTGCCAAGTTTGGTCCAGATCCATCATTGTTTGAGTCCACAGTGTTCTTTGGATATAGATGAACTACAATTCCAAAACTCAAGGTCAATGCCATAAAGCTCTTGTAGTATTTTATGTTAGTCATGGGAGTTCTGTGTGCCGAGATTGGTTCAATTCCATCGTTGGTGGAGTACAAAATGCTCTTTGATTGTAAGTTAACTATAAATCTCAGCAACTACAACTCCCAAATGTCAATATCTATTTTCTTCTAATTCCACCAGTTTTCACATTTGGGTATATTGAGTATTTGTGCCAAGTTTGGTCCAGACCCATCATTGTTTGAGTCCACAGTGTTCTTTGGATATAGGTGAACCACAATTCCAAAACTCAAGGTCAATGCCCATCAAACCCTTCTAGTATTTTATGTTAGTCATGGGAGTTCTGCGTGCCAAGATTGGTTCAATTCCATCAAATGACAAAAATCAACACACACACACACACACACCCAAGCCCACCGGTATTCAAATTGGAGGTATATCGGGTATCTGTGTCAAATTTGGTCCAGTGAATGAGAATACATCTTACATATCAGATATTTACATTACGATTACAATAGCCGCAAAATAACAGTTAGGAAGTAGCAATGAAAATAATTTTATGGTTGGGGGTCACCACAACATAAGGAACTGAATTAAGGGGTCATGGCATTAGGAAGGTTGAGAACCATTGCACTAGAGGAAGACATCCTTTGTGAGGGAAACAGTGAAGGAATGGTTAGGATGAAAAGGCCCACGTTATAATGTGTAGGACAGAATGAAATCCACAAATTGCTTTCAAATCTGTAAATTAGCTGGTTATGACAACATTTTCAAATAAGTGCTAATATCATATCAGAGTGCTATGTATACCCAAAGTAAACAAAAAGAGCAAAGGGAACTAAAAATAGGTTTGGGACAAGATCAAAAGGGGAAGCTTTGCATTTATGGTCAAAAATGGCAATCAGTCGGTTGGAGTTCCCATTAGTTGCAAAACTTACTGTTGCTCTGGCTGGGACAAGAACACTCAGCATTGCTGAGATGACAATGAGTGACTTCATTGTATTGGTTAAGAGGTTCCTATTTTCAGTGGTTTTGTTCAGTTCTTTCCTTCTTCTTTTTCTGTTGGTTTCTAAAAAGAAAGAAAAAAAGCAGTCAGGCATGAAATATGGGGTAACAATCGAACTATATTGTTTTTCTCTGTTCCATAACTTGAATATTCTTGCAGTTTGTGGAGGATGTGATAACAAGCAAAACTGTTTTTTCCCTCCAATGTCCATTCCGAACTCTAAATGAACCTGGCTGTGAACCTCATTTTCATCAATGGAGGCCGTCAAGAGAAAGTGTTTGTTGGCCACTTGACAACATAAAGAACTGCCCTATTGCCTTGTGATGTATTCACTCCAACTTGTAGTGGCAGGCCCGGTGACAAACCCACAAGACTTTCCTGGCCCACAAACATGGCTACAGTCCATCATATGGAAATAATAATTCAAATAGGGGTTAGATGTTCACTTCCCCCCCAAAAAAAGATCACATCGTTGTTGCCTGCAGTCTCACAAACAGGTTTTCCAAGTTCAAAAATGTGCAGACTTGTCTCAACATAGGCTGACATGAGGTTAACAACAATGCCTGTCACTTTTATCCTTTAGCATAGAATACTCTTATCATCACATTTTGCATAATTGCAAGAAATAAAAAGAGTGGCTCTTTTGGAGTTTACCACACATTCAACAAGAGCAGTGGTTCCCAAACATTTTGACCAGGGACCACTTGACCAGCAACCAGTTGGCAAGGGACCACTCTCCAACATTAGTACCAAAAGGGTTACGAATCAGTTTTTAATCAACTTTAGATTTGATTTGGATATTTGGGTGCTGATTGCATTGGATAGACCACATCAGCTCTAGTTTCTGATGCACAACATATGCCAGTAGTTATCATCTGCTCACCCACAGAAAACCATATTTAATAAGCCTTAGTACTATAAGAGGATTTTGAGAGACCAGTTGACCTCATTGCCATAGTGTAGTAACAGTGAGGCTACGGACCATATTTTAGTTCTTGCGGACCACTGGTGGTCCATGGACCATAGGGTGGGAACCAATGCACAAGAGGAAAAATTGCTATTATACTTAGATCTTCCCCTCTACTTTTCTATTTTATAATCTTGAGCTATTTATTGTCAGAGTTCTTACATATCTTTCCTGGCTTCTAAAGAATGAAAGATTTGCTGATCCAATATCGCATTAGATTTATATGAAACATAATTTCACTGAAGTGCAGTTAAGTTGCATTATCAAACTACAAGAGTGTGCCAGCACAGAGAAATGCATTGCTAATACCTGAAATGCAATACTAAACACTCTTAATGGAAAAGAAATCCAATGGAACTCACTTGGAGCACATACACAATATTGCTATAATATAATTTTACTTTCACTGCCTGATTCTGTCCTATGGAATTCCGGGATCGTCAGTTTAGCGAGGGGAATTCTGAGAGGCAGCATGGGGTTGTAGTTTGAGTGTTGTAAGACATATTTGGAAACCAAGATTCAAGTTCTTCCTCAGGCATGGAGACCTTGGGTATGGAACACTCTCTCAGGGTCCTTCCAGACAGGCCCTATATCCCAGGATCTGATCTCAGGTTTTCTGTTTATACCAGATTATCTGGCAGTGCACTCTTATAATCCAGCTTTAAAGCAAAAAAACCAGGGATCAGACCCTGGGATATAGGGTCTGTCTGGAAGGGACCTCAGGCTCAGAGAAAAGCAAGGGCAAACCTCCCTCTGAGCAAATTTGCCAAGAAAATCCCATGACAGGTTCACCATAGGGTCAACATAAATTAGGACAATTTGTAGGCACACAACCATAATCATAATTTTCAATCAGGCCACTCCAGTGCCTCCGCAAACTACAAATCCCTTGATTCCATAGGGTGGAACCTTGGCAATTCAAATGGAATGATAGTGCTATAATTCTGTTATGTGAATGGCCCCTGGGATATAGTTCTGTGGAGATATGCATACGAGTGTAGTGGATATAAAGAAATGCTTAAGAAGATGTTGAAGTCTCTTAGACCATTTTGTAATGCCTGGCAATAAATAATTTATTCATTTAGCTCCAAAGTATAAATAATGTAAATATATCAAAAGGTTAATGTGTGTTTTAAACTTGCATGGTGTTCTCTTACAAAACGTATTTGCACACTAAGTGGTAGGTTGCTCATTACAAGCCAATACTTTTGACTCCGGAAAGTGATGAACAAATCCTTATAATGCCTGGGGTTATTTCATTTCTGCATGTAGCGACAAAGAAGCATGTTTCAGCAAGATATTGTGAAATAAATGAGCACAGTGTGTTTCTGTTGCCAAATTAGGTTAACAAACTAAACTAACACTATCCTGAGTCAAGCAATCCTTTGGTTGAAAGTGAGAAGTAGCATAAGTGGAGTCAGTCCTCCATATGGGCATAATCTGTATCCACAAATTCAATAATGCATGGTTTATAGAGCACAAGGCTCATGCTCTTACAGCACTTGATGTACATGAATATATTATTTTAAATATTTTCAGACTACTAAACTATTTTATATCATCATCTATTGTCTTATGTTGTTTTTCTGTCTCTCTGAGATTTTTGTGATATAAATATTTTAATTGAAATAATAAAATAAGCATGCGTTAGGCTGCAGCCTAAGACCACAGTCCTGTGCACACTTATCTATATAAATAAAAATATAATGTTAGTTTGTGGGATGAACATAACTCAAAAACCACTGGGCGAATTGACACCAAATTTGGACACAAGACACCTATCAGGCCAACAAGTGACCATCACTCATTAAAAACACTGAAAAATACAGCAGAGGGGACTTAAAAAGCCAAAAAAGCATGCGCAAAACCACACACACACACATATATACTCAAACATATGTATATACACATATATACACACAAAACACACATACACAGACTGGGCCACAGCAATGCATGGCAGGGGACAGCTAGTTTATAAATAAATTCCTGCAACATTATAGCTTAAACTTCCTATGTGTTGGACTGGGCTGCAAGAAAACGATGTTAAGAGAGTAAAATTGCTAATAACCCCAAAAGCTTTATAATTACAGCCTGCTCTGGCTGGCAAGATGCTATATCAGAGCTTCTCTTGTCTGTTCAGACATGTGGGACTTATTCATCTGGCTGTCATCCTGTCAGATTGCTATCATTTCATCAGGTCAGCTCCAGTCTACTTGGCTACTGACATTTTAGGGAGACCTTCTTCCAGCCTGATTTCAATTAATCATTTGGATGTATTGTTGAAGGCTTTCATGGCCGGAATCACTGGGTTGTTGTGAGTTTTCTGGGGTGTATGGCCATGTTCCAGAAGCATTCTTTCCTGATGTTTCACCCGCATCTATGGCAGACATCCTCAGAGGTTGTGAGGACCTCACAACCTCTGAGGATGCCTGCCATAGATGCGGGTGAAACATCAGGAAAGAATGCTTCCGGAACATGGCCATACACCCCAGAAAACTCACAACAACCCAATCGTTTAGATGTTGTGTGGTTTCTGGGCTGGATGGCCATGTTCTAGCAGCAATTTCTCCTGACTTTTTGCCTGCATCTGTGGCTGGCATCTTCAGAGGATGATGCGGGTGGAAACATCAGAAAAAATGCTGCTAGAACACGGCCACACAGCCCAGAAACCACACAACATCCCAGTGATTCTGGCCATGAAAACTTTCAACAATCATTGTATTCCCATGGATGTCTTCATAGAAGAAAACAGGCTAGGGCTCTGCAACTTGCCATGACCTTGAGAAGTGATAAGCATTTGGAGAGTAGCATCGTGCAATAGGCAGGTATGAAGTGACTGAATTATGATTGGAATGGTTCCTGGATTACGATTTTTAGTGCTTTTAACAGTTTACTTAATATATTGATTGCTATGCTTTTACTATTTTTATTGATTTTAATGTATATTGTAAATTGCATTTATGTTTGTTTATTGTGGCACTGAATTCCTGCCAATTTGAAAGCAGCTCTAAGTCCCCCTCAGGGTTGAGATAGAGCTGGGTAAAAATGCTGTAAATAAATAAATAAATGCATCTCTCAATGCTTTTATTACAGCCTTGCAATGCTTCTTTGCTGTTTCCTTTTCCAGTTGAATTGGGAAGACTGGCTTCTTTTTTGAAGGCAACTTGGACACTGCTCAACCAGCAGGAGCTCAGTTCAACCACTCAACTATAATGAGTAGATTGGTTCTACTTCACTACCCCATGTGCATCCTCTGAAGCTTTCTGGCTGAGAATGATCATCCCTAAACTATAAATCCCAGTTTTCCATTGGATGGAACCATGGCAATTAAAGAGCTGTAACTATATAGTATGAAAGGTTCCCTTGCTACATTCCCCAGCAATGTTCAGTCCAGTCTCTGATTCTGCCTGCAATGCAGATAGTGGGAGACTTTTTTTTCCGTGTCAGGAGTGACTTGAGAAACTGCAAGTTGCTTCTGGTGTGAGAGAATTGGCCGTCTACCCAGGGGACACCTAAATATGTTACCATCCTGTGGGAGGCTTCTCTCATGTCCCTGCAAAAGAAGCTGGAGCTGACAGATGGGAGCTCACCTCACTCCCTGGATTCGAACTGCCAACCTTTCGGTCAGCGGTCCTGCCAGCACAAGGGTACAACCCATTGAGGCAACACAATGAGTTGAACCCAATCTGCCCTATATGACCACAGATCCCTATCAGACCAACATTACTATTATCACTTTGTTGGTCTCAGCTGGCATATAAGACTCAGGTGCTTCTAAAATTCAATTCCAAATCTTTGAAAAGCTGCAAAATGCCATGAAATTTAAGAGGCAGAGTTAAGTGACTGCCATCCCAAGCCTGATGAAGGGTGGTTTTTATATTTCTTGGCTTTGCGTCTTGGCTGGCAGGCAAGAGCACTTAGCTCCGGAAACTGCATCCCCTTGGCAAGAAGCGGCCAAATGCAGAAGGAAAGCAAGAGAGCGCCTTTTGTGTCTTCAGGCACAGTTAATAATTAAAACATCGTCATATAGAGGCACAGAAGTATATTCCATTTTAAAATTATTACTTAGAGTTGCAACTTAAGAATGGTGTGAATAAAAACCAATCCTTCCTTCAAGATAATATTGTGTTTACATCTCTAAAACAGGGAAACATCACAATGGATGATAGGAAAAGATTTAACTAACAAAATATTTCAAAAAACCAAAAGTATTTCTAAAATACAGAAACACAAGATACCAAAGAAACACTGGAGTGCACTGTTGGACTATAGCATTTGAATTCATGCCCCCAATACATGCATATTTCTTTGATAAATAATAAGACACACATTTTGTTTCAGGAACCACCACTGACATCCCTTGCTAAGAAAATCCTACAAAATTCATTGGGTCACCCTACATCAAAAGGCGACTTGAAGGCGCGCACATGAACATTGCTTCAGGCACTTTTACTTTATCATAGTTGTATTCAGTACACTGCAGTTACCTGTATGAAACAGTCACAAAGGATGAGCCATACTGTTTGTGTATATGGTCCAGGCTCATTAATTTAGAGGGGGAAATCTCTAGGTATCTTAAGATTCTCATACACATGCGCACTATCTTCTTAGAAATAGTTTATGTTTGATAAATATAATTAAAATTCAAAGGTCTTGCACTTACCAGTTCAACAACAGTGCCGAAAGTGTGCCGTACTCTGTGCAGTTACAGCAACCTCAGCAGCCACAGCAGCGCAAGACTTAGGTCCGTTAGTGCTGAAGCTATCTGAACACTGTTCCCTTTCTGACTGCTCTCAATCCGAACACAGCTCGCTTTCCGCCTGTTCTGCAGAGGCAATCCCTTCTCTATATAAACCCTCAATGAGAGCTCTGATTGGTTGACTGCAGCCTCTGATGCATTCCAGCTTGATGAGAAGCATGATACCACTCCACATTTGCAGGAAGTTTTCCACCAGGAGAATTCAGAAAAAAAGCAGCATTTAACTCTTTGCAAACAATGGTCTCACAAATGACTCAGTGGGGAATTCAGAGGTGCTGTGGACTGCAGTTTCACTGCGGAAGGGTGCAGAATAGGCACTGCTTTGTGCATTTGGAGGGAGATCTTCACAAAGCACATGTTCTGAAGATGTTGATTGTATTCTTAGTTCTTTTAGAAATGTACAGATATATCATTTGCTAGAAGAGGAAATAGACAGTTGATATGAAAGCAACATGGCCAAGGACAACAACATGTTAACAAAAATACGATTTCGCACCTCATCTAGTGTGTTTCCCAAGCCATTGACGAAATCACTGTGTGTGCGTGCATGCGTGTATATATATATATATATATATATATATGCTCTGTGCATAATGAGTACCTTAAAAACAAAAGAACCAATGAACGAAATCACCAAATTTGGCAACGAAACATCTCACAACACAAGAAGTGACCATCACTCAAAAAATTATGATTTTGTCATTTGGGAGTTGTAGTTGCTGGGATTTATAGTTCACCTATAATCAAAGAACATTCTGAACTCCACCAATGATGGAATTGAACCAAACTTGGCACACAGAACTCCCAGGACCAACAGAAAATACTGGAAGGGTTTGGTGGGAATTGACCTTGAGTTTTGGAGTTGTAGTTCACCTTCAACTTGTCTCGTGATGTTTTGTATCGATGTTGTTCACCGCTTTGAGTCACCTGAGGGCTGAGAAAAGCGGTATATAAATAAAGTAAATAAATAAATATATAAATAAAGTAAATAAATACATCTAGAGAGCATCATGGACTCAAACAATGATGGATCTGGACCAAACTTGGCGCAAATACTCAATATGCCCAAATATAAAAACAGATGGAGTTTAAGGGAAATAGACCTTGACATTTGGGAGTTGTAGTCGCTGGGATTCACAGTTCACCTACAATCAAGGAGCATTCTGAACCCCACCAATGACAGAATTGGGGCAAACTTCCCACACAGAATCCCAATAACTAACAGAAAATACGGTGTTTTCTTGTGGTCTTTGGCAACCCTTCTGACACCTCCTCGCACCCCCCTCCAGGGGTCCCAAACCCCAGGCTGAGAAATACTGCCTTGAGGCCATCCAGTCCAATTCCCTTCACCAGGGCAAGAAAACATAATCAAAGCCCTCCTGACAAAGGGCCATCCAGCCATTCACAGACACACATATATGTATATGACAGATGCAGTATCAAAGATTTGAAAGGGACCCCTAAAGAAGGGCAATGATATGTGGCATGTTCCAGGGTAGGCAAACCAGACAAAGAAGCAGCAAGAAATACTGTTTACACACAAGCATATTGTAGAAACCAACACTTTCTCATTACTTTATTTTCCAGATCACCAGACTGTGCCACAGCAATGCCTGGCAGGGGACCTCTAGTGTGTGTGTATGTATATGTATATGTATATGTATATGTATATGTATATGTGTATGTGTATGTGTATGTGTATGTATGTATGTGTGTGTGTATGTATATATATGTGTGTGTGTGTGTGTCAGGAGCTACTTGAGAAACTGCAAGTCGCTTCTGGTGTGAGAGAATTGGCCGTCTGCAAGGACATTGCCCAGGGAAAATCCAGATGTTTTAATGTTTTACCATCTGTGTGAGAGGCTTCTCTCATGTCCCCATATGGGGAGCTGGAGCTGACAGAAGGAGCTCATCTGCACTCTCCCTGGATTTGAACCTCCAACCTGTTGGTCTTCAGTCCTGCCAGTTTAACCCGGGGGCTCTATATATGAGTGATGATCACTCATTGGCCTGATAGGTGTAGTGTGTCCAAACTTGGTGTCAATTTGTCCAGTGGTTTTTGAGTTATGTTAATCCCACAAATGAGCATTTTATATATTAACATAACTCAAAAACCACTGGATGAATTGACACCAAATTTGGACACAATATACCAATCAGGCCAACGAGTGATCATCACTCATAAAAGCACTGAAAAACACAGTGGAAGAGACTTAAAAAGCCCCAAAAAATTACATTACAACACATGCACAAAACCACATATATACACATACACACACACAACACATATACACAGGCAGGGTCACAGCAACATGTGGCAGGGGCGGCTAGTATAGATATATAAAATGTAATGTTCATTTGTGAGATTAACGTAACTCAAAAACCACTGGATGAATTGACACCAAATTTGGACACAAGACACCTATCAGGTCAAAATGTGATCATCATTCATAAAAACACTGAAAAACAAGCAGAAGAGACTGAAAAAGCCAAAAAACAAAAATTACATTAGAACGCATGCACAAAACCACATATATACACAAACACACATATATATACACACACACATATACACATATACACACACACAAAACACATATACACAGACTGAGCCACAGCAACGCGTGGTAGGGGGTGGCTAGTAGGCCTGTTTGATCAAGAAAAAATTTGTTTCTAAAATCGATTTGTAATTGGGGTGTTTTTTTGTTTCGATATTTAAAATATTTACAAAACTTTCCAAAAAAAAGTTTCGGTATTTACGAAATTTCGTAAATATTTACAAAACATTTTGTAAAGATGGCGGACCCCCGCGCATGCGCAAAAACACCTCCGAAGCTTCGTTATTGGCACGGAGGTCGATTCGTTAAGGTTATAACGAATCGAT